AAGCGAAATCGCTTTAAAATCAATTAACCGTAAAATCACTCGCCTATTTGCAACAACAATCGAAAAGCCAGAGTGTGGGAGAGAGAGTCCGGGGCCAGGGCCACAGCCAGCTACAGAGCCATGCCCAGGGGGCAATGGACATCGACATCGACGGCAGCCAAACAATCAAATGTGGTGGCAATAAAATTAGCCCTGTCTCCCTCCGTCCCGCCAAGCTCAATGGATGCGATGAGCAGTGAACCCTTCACTGATGCTGCACTTGACCGGCCCCCGTTGCTGCGGCTGAGGCTGCTGCTGGGGCTGAGGCTGGGGCTGGACGTGCTGCCAGGTATTAACCTCCATTTAATGTTAAACAAAGCCGCGTTACACATGTGCGATGAATGAGAAGCCGCCCCCAACACCACAAGGGGCTGGGGCGGAGCGGGGAGATCGGGTTGCACAAGGGGTTGGGTGTGGCACGGTGCATGGGCGAACAGAAAAAAATAAAAATAAAAAGAGAGAAGAGTGAAAAAAAGTACGAGCCAGCAGCAAATTGAATTGCTGGCAAACAAGGAGCTCCGTTTCGCTTCCTGCAGGAAATAAGCGCGGCGCAGAACGGAAAAAAAAATGTACCTGCACACACTGAGAGAAAGAAAAGTGTAAATTGAAACGAGTGTGCATAAAATCTGTAAAAATAAAGATTTCGAATTTTTTAAAATGATTCTGCAGATATTTCAAACCAGAAACAATCCAAAAGATATATGAGAAATTAAAGAAATTAAATGTAATGAAACTGTGATATTCGAGATGTTATAGCCAGAATAAGGGGTTACTCTGCAGATATAATAATAATAATAATAATAATAAATAAAATAATATAATATAATATATATAATATAATATAATATATATAATATAATATAATATAATATAATATAATATAATATAATATAATATATATATATATATATATATATATATATTATATAATATATATAATATATATATATATATATATATATATATATATATATATATATATATATAATATAATATAATATACAACTGTTGATGCAACATAGCTGCCACAGCTTTAACTCTTCAGCTCATGGGTAGCTGCTGTTTTGTTTCTCTCAGTGTCAATAGGTATAGGTATACATACATACATACAGTACATATGCATGTATATGCGAATATGCATGACAAGGCTGACCCACGCAGGGAACATGAGAATCATCATCAGCGCCAGCGCCATCGTCATCGTCATCAGAATCGTTTTAAACAAAACGGACTAATTAAGCGCACGTTGCCCGCGTGGGTCCTTGAGTGGCTAACCAGGGATGCCCATGAGGAGTATGTATGGCCTTGTGGCAGGGGCAAGCGGTGGGGGGGCGGCATGTGTAAGGGTGCCAGGTGTTTGGGTGTGAACTGGCTTATTAGCGGGGAGCGTGGAGCAGGGAGCCTTGGACGCGCCATGTGAAGGTTCTCTGGCATTGCCTTGGATTGCCTTTCAATTGCATGGATACATTTCCCTCGCACACTCACATCCGCCCACACTCCAGGACTGCCGCCTAATGGAAATGGCTTTGGAGCCACAGGAGAGACGAGGAAAAAATCGCTTTTTGAGTAGTCAACGCCAATGGTCGGGGTTCGGGGTTCAGGGTTCGGGGTTCGGGGTTTCGCTTAAGACGCTTTGATCTATGTGTGTCAGAGGGAGGACTCACTCCCTCTCCACTCCGCCACAGCATGCCCCCCCCACCCACATCCTGCAGGTCGATCCCCTGCCCTTGGCACACATGTATCCTTGGTGTATCGTCGCGCTAAATCCGTCTTTGAATAATGATGCCGTTGATAGCTGGGATTATGCCCAGGCCCAGGCCCAGATCCATGCTGCAGACGGACTGCCACGACAGTCACATATGTACGCGTCCCTGACGGGTTGCATGTGTCTGTGTGGTGTGTGTGGGTGGGTGTGGGTGTGTGGGGTGGGTGGGTGTCCATTTATTTATTATGCCACAATATTCAATGACCCTTAATGGCATTTCGTAATAAAAATATTGGATTAGTTTGTTAGTTTTTGTGCGAGAGACAACCATCAACCACCATCGAAGCACAGCACTGCCATCCCATCCCAACCCAACCCAACCCAACCCCAACTGCCATTTGCCCACTGGACACTCGTCACTTTTTCAACCGAGGCCCAGGGACATTACGTATTCCATTAAACGACTAATGAGACCATTGTGCCGGGCGATGGTCGGTGGGCAGTGGGCAGTGGGCAGTGGGTGGAAAGCGATGGGATGGCTCAGGCTTGCGGTTCAGCTTCAGGTGCCGGAGATCAAAGCAAGGAAAGATTCAAGCAGGCTATCAGCAAATTGCGACTGTAGGCACCTCCTGGGCTGGACTGCAGCATAAGGAGAAGCCGCAGGGAACATTGCGACAGCCCAATCGAAAGGGACACAGCAAGTATTCACAAGTCCAAATGCTCCACTTTAATCTGATGCGAGAGAATAGCCCAAAAAGTGCTTGGTCTGGCAAAGGCATTGACCCTTTAATTTTGGCACTCAGGCCTCAAGCAGGGGCATCCTGCAGGGCTTATAGGACCCGCCCCATCCACCCCATGCTTCGAACATTTGGGGGCCATAGTTTTGCCTTCGAAGGTGCCCCAGGCCGGTGCCCAAGGCTGATGATGTTGTTCTGCCTGCAGTATTCATGTGGCTTATTAAAATATTAAAAACATTCGACCCGAAAGTTCTTCTTCGGCTGCTCCGGCACGTACTCCTAGAGAGGCGTAGGCGGAGGCAGAGTTAGAGATGAAACTGGAGACTGAGACTGGAGACTGAAGCTGAAGCTGTAGCTGGAGTCCAAGTAAATGCTTTGGGTTCGGGGTCTGGCATGCATGTGACATAATAAATATTAATGACAACTGACCGACATAGATCCCCGTGCCCAGTGGGTGGGCTGGGTGGACTCACAGCCTCAAAGCAGAGTAACACATGATGAGGATGATAATGACGATGGTTGGCTGGTGGGTGGTAGCTGGTGGGTGCTTCGGTAGCTACTCTCAGCGTGGACGTTGACGTTGACACACATTCGACATGTGACAGATAAATTATGGCAATTGGACGAATGTCGCCACACCTACAAGGGACTCTGACGGGACTCTGACTCGCCACCGTTCCGTTCCGTTCGCTTTTTCTGCCTTTTGTGGGCATTAGATCATTTTTCATTTGTTTTTGTACCATCACTCGTCTCACTCGCCTTCCTGTTTGCCTGTTGTTGGGGTTGTGACATATGTGGATTGTCCTGCTCGAAGCTATCGATAAATGCCAAGTGTAATCGACGCATTCAAAATTTACCCCCCCCCCCCCCTTTCACTCGCTTGCCATTGCAATTGATGACAGGCCACGGAAACCACCCACTGGGCAGTGGGAGGACCATTATCATTACCCTGCGTGTTGACTTTCATTAGGCGCAATGGCCCAGGGTCATTGTCAGGGCAATTTTTCAACCTTCACCAGCGACAGAGAGAGACGAGAGAGGGAGACTGATGTCCGCCCATCAATATGGCAGCTAGAAGTTGGCCAGCAATGGACGGAGTGCATATGGAACTTTGCTCCTCCTCCTCCTCCCCAGGTGGTCTACGGTGGCATCATCATCATCATCATCTGCCCCTCGGTCACCTTATGACTTACATTTCTCTCTCTATCTCGCTTAAAGACTCTCTCTCTCTCTGCCACCAATAATTTGGACATAAAAGTTGTAATAGTAAAACACAAAAATAACAGAAAAATGGAATAGGAATAGGAATAGGTTGCTTTTGGTTGCCTTGTTGCAGGCTGCAAAGGGAGCGACTTTCTTGGGAATATATCTGTGAGTGGATAACCGCCCTTTCCCCCACAAAGGGCAACACAAAAGCGCCATAGATTTATTTACAGGCAACGGGCTTAAAGCCAATTTCAAAAGAATAAAAGAAACCCACCAAAGAAACAAACAAGCTGCCCCCTCTCCGCAGGACCGGCGCGGAGGGGTGGGGCGGGGTTGGTGGCACAAGTAATACGCGTGTATAAAAGAATCAAAAATCTTGATTTTGATTTCAGATACTCGAGAAGGACAGGGGGCAATGGTTCGCGTAGGGGAGCGGGTAGATGGATACAGGGCCAACGAGGGGGTTGGCTGGGCAGAAGTCAAGTGGCGCTTAGTTGCGCTGGCGAGCGACTAAAATCGCGGCCGTCTGTGGCGGGCAGGAGAAGGGAAAAGGGAGCAGGGAGAATGGAGGGCTTCCTATGAATTCCACTTCAATGAATTGAAAAATTGCCTCGAACAAATTTGATGCGCCGCCAGCTGCTTTGCATTCAGCAGGAGATGCCACGCAGATACACAGAGGATTGGAGGGAGGAAGGGAGACTGGAAAGGGAGCATGGGATGAGATGGCAGGCATGGGGCATGGGGCATGGCATGGCCCTTGCCGAACATGACATTTGACATTTGATAATGTCATTTGCCGCGTAATTGTTTTTTGATTTGGATGCCCCAACCCACCCACTCGCTGTCTTTATCTTTGAGTCCATCTGCGCTTTTTATTTGGTTTTTCTTTAAATTTTCCTTAGATTTTATTTTGTTTATCGTTCCGCACCCAGAGACACAAATTGATTGGCGGGCTCCAAGGGAGCTCCACCCATAAATCATGGAATTTCCCTCTCCATGGGGTTTAGCTTTAATGTTTTTACCTTTTTCGGAATGCTTTATTTATTGAACTGATTAACAATAAAATATGTATGCAATAAATGACCATGGAAACATGGAAACATGCGACATGGGACATGCAAAATTGAATTAAGTGTCAAATAATCATCAGAGAATTCGCTCGCTCGCTCGCGGAGCTCCTAGCGGGAGGCTGCAAAGAAAAGTTAGAGGCTGGGATTAGCGATGGGTTGTTGTGTGTGCGAAGGGAAGTGGCCAGATTGGTCGATTACTTAGTTATAGCCCTGTTCTATGTTCTATGCTCTATGTACTATGTTCTATGGCTGCACCACCCACATCTCGTCGTTGGACTCGCGGGCATCGTATCGCTGCCCGTACACCGGCCGCGCATCCACATACATGATATCCTTGAAGTTGTCGGTTAAAAAGGCCATGGTGGGATGGTCCAGGATCAAGCAGCTGTCCTCGCTGTTCATTATCATGTCGGGCACATCGATGAACTTCGACATGCGAATGGGTTTGAGCAGATTCTGATGCTTTGAGCCAGCCACACCGCGCTCCAGCGCGTACAGGTAGAGGCGCACCTTCATATCCCGCGGCAGCTTGTCATGGCTCATCAGCCAAAACACATACAGCTGATTATCGCCATCAGATTCGGGTTCGGGTTCAGGTTCGGGTTCAGATTCGGGCACAGAACGTGCAGCATTCTCATCCGTAACTTTCCGATCATCAGCCGAAGAAGATGATTCCTTCTTTGCCACAATCCACGGTATGCTGTCCGTGTTGTCTTCGGTTTCTGTGCCATAATCGTCGCTGGTCTCGCACTCAATGCCCAGCTGGCTCTTGTCTATTCTGGCGTACATCACCAGCACCAAGTGGTGGTCCGCGAAGTAGAGCTCACGCGTGGGCAGCGCCACATGGCGGATGTAGCGGGGCCGGTGGGCCGGCGGCGATCGGTGCTTGCCGTCCAGTATGGCCAGCATGCTGGTGCAGAAGTACATCCGGGGCGGATAGCTGACCGGGGAGAACAGGCAGATCATGCGATCGCCCATCCAGAGCTCTTCCAGGCGCCGGCAGTGGTGGGTGACGAAATGCGACAGCACGAGACTCGGGCTGAGGTACTCGCCACAGCCCTGAATGGGGCACACGAAGCCATCGGGCGGCGCGGTCTCTGCGGTTAGCTTGCTGAAACATCGCCGAATGCCGGCTCTGGTGCAGTTGATGGCCAGGAAATCGGGACGCGGAAACTGCCGGTTCACATAGAACTCGTGGTAGCATTCGCTGTTCGGGTGCGCACACACAGCCCCATGGCCTCGGCCTGTGTGGCCCGCTCGATGCCCGTTCTCAGGGGCTCCATCAGGATCGACTTGAGCCGTCCCTCGTGGACCTGGGCCCAATTGTACAGCTCAAAGCCGTCGACTGTGCCCCCGACCGGACGCTTGCGCTGCTCCACCATGAACACCTCCACCACGTTCACGGCGAAGCGGCAGCGCAGCAGACCGCGGCTCAGAATTTCCATTTCCATGGCCACGGCGTAGTGGTAGAGGACGCGGTAGAAGGCGCAGACCATGTACTTGGCCATTTGCTCGGTTACTGTGGTGCTCACCGCGGGCGAGTCGCGGCTGCTCTCAATGAACACGTGGATCCCCGTGTCCAGCTGCTTGTCGGACGACCGTGTCAGCTCCTCCAGCGGACGCTCCAGGAGGTAAAACAGCGGATAGAAGCCCTCCAGTAGGTACCACTGGAAGATCAGCTCGTCCTCGGCCGGGTTCCGACTGTGGTAGAACTTCACCATGTAGTCCAGGATTCGGTCGTGCAGACCGCTACATTGGGCCGGTAGTGGGCCACGGTCCACAGGATCTTTACCGAGATCTCGTCCAGCTCAAAGTAGCTGCGAAAGTCCCCCTGCCTGGGTATTCTCTGGCCCTTGTATCTCGGCGGCCGTTTCCCCACGCCAGCGCTGCTTCTCTTTGTATCCGCATCCGTCTCGGCCCGCGTGGACGAATCACCCGAGGTCGAGCTCATGCCATCGTCGTCCGACGCAAGCCCAGCCCAGCTCCTGAATCCGTCGCTGCCTGAATCTCTGAACTTTGAGCGGCCAAGCACGCCGTTCCATGAGGAGTCGAAGGACCGAAAGTCCGACTCGAATTCTTTGCTCGCGCTGCCAGCGAGCTCCTGGGGTAGGGAGTCGGTGCAGCCCTTGGGACGTAGCAGAAAAACGGGCCCCATCGGGTTCTGGGGCAGCGCTGGCTTCGGTAGGCGCGACTTCATCGGCATCAGGTGGCGGGTCATCAGCTTGTTCTTCAGCGGCTCTACCGTGGGCGGCTCAACGATGTCCTCCCGAGCAAAGTCCTCCGCAGGCAGCTGATAGCAGCGCCCGCCCACTTTGGGTGCGATAGGAATGGTTGGAGCGGGGCTCAGACGAGCGGGAGGGTCGAACTCAGTGGGCAAAAGGAACTCAGTGGGCCTTGGCTCTTCTCGTTTAGTTTTCTTAGTTTTCTTTTTGGCTTTTTGCACTTTGTGGGGATGGCGATTCTTGTTCTTCGCGATCTTCTCGCTCTTCCCCAGCACTAGGGCCCTGATCCGCTTCATTTCTAGCTTGTCCTTTAAGTTATCTTGGCGCCTCTTTTTGGGATTTTCTTTCGCTGAAAAATGCACCCTTAGGCCCAGGCGCACAGACTTACCTGATGGATGCGAAGAATGGCGCAGCTTTTGCTCGCCGATGCTGCTCAGCGAAGGACCTGTCAACGAGAGAGAGAGAAAGAGAGAGAGGGAGAGTGCACTGATTTGGGCAACTGATCGCAGACTATGTAGCAGGCCACTTACAGCCCACAAAGGAATGGCGTGGCAGCCCCAAGCTGCTGTCCAGCGGAGAGCCTGTGGCCAAGGCCGGCGAAGGATCGGATGATGGTGCCTGGTTCGAGTCATCCGAAGATGGTGGCGTCATGTTCAGGGCTGCATAGATGGCCGTGGAACGGTTGCGATTGACGCTCAAATCGTACGGCATAGCCCCGCTCAAGCAGCCGTAGCCTGTAGGCGAATCACTTGGACTTTACTCTGCCAATGCTATGAGGGGAAACCAACGAGCCCTTACCTTCGCGAGTGGCTGCTCCAGTTGCATTTTTGCCGCCATTAGAGCTTGAAATTTTGCTGTCCTGATTGCCGCCATCTGTGCTGCGTTTCTCTGAAAGTTCGCCAAGTTGATGTATCACTTTTATTTATCACCATTTAAGCATTCAATATTTGTATACCTGTGCGAGTATTGTCCGAGCCAAGCGTGCAATTGAAGCGCTTTGTCTTCAGGACGAGCGTTTCCGATGAAGATTTCTCCTCGAGCGTGGCCTCGTCAGAGTTGCTGCTGCCTGCGTGGGGGGGGGGGAGTGAAAAATATAGCCAGGGGTATTTTTTAAGTGCAGTGGAGGCACCGTGACTTGTGTTGTTTAAGCCCATCAAATAATTCAACATTAAACTGCTAAATTACCAAAAGAAAAGGCACTCACTGTCGCTCACTGAATAAAGCAAACTTTTTGGCTTCTCACTGTCCGTGGTATCTCTGGTGTCCGCGGTGTCCGTGGTGTCTGCAGGGTCCACGGTGTCCGTGGTGTCCGTGGTGTCTGTCTCCGAGGAGCGCTTCTCCGAAGGGTTGCGATCGTTGCGATTGCCCTGCGAGTCACGACGCGAGGCCTTGGCCCAGTACTGCTCGAGATGCTCCATGCCCAGCTCACAGTCCGTATCCAGGTCGATGAACGGCTCGAGGTCCTGGTCCTGTCGGCGCTTTACGTTCTGTTGCTTCGACATTTTTTCCTTCACTGAAATTCCACAAATATTTATTCAAGACTTTTCGCAATATTTTGACGTTTTTTGACGCCGCCAACTGCGATTCAACTCACTGAACTGCTGATTCGTTTTCGATGACAGATTGATGGGCTTTGCCTGAATGTTCATAATGTAATATTTTTTGGGCTTTGCCTGGCTGCTGGGATTAGTTTTGGCTGTTTTCTCGGCGCTTTGCATTGGCTTGGTCTTTTTTTTTGATTTAGATTTAGATTCAGATTCTCCTTCTCCTTGTTCCTGTTTTTGGCCTTGGGCACGGCTCCCGTGGCGCTCTTCTTGCCGGCATTTTTCAGCGGTTCCGGCGTCTTCCTGCGCTTCTTCTCCAGCTGCAGGTTCATGCTGTCCACCAGGCTGAAGATATCTGTGGAAATCGAGTGGATTTAGTGGGGCTGTGTGGGGGGTGGGGCTTAAGTGGCGCTGCACGCACAGTACAAACGTTGCTGGGGACACAGTGCAATCTTGGCGGGGTAGGGGAAGGGCATGTCGTAGCCCGTGCCCGTGCCGATCCCTTGCCGGATCCCGTGCCCAATGCCACGGGCTTGACCTTGAGCTTCGGCGGCGAGGCGGTGCACTTCACGGGCACGTGCACGGGCACGGGCGACACGGTGGACGAGGACCAGTGACTGGAAACGTCAGACGAGGAGAATGGCGAGAAGCTGTCGGGCTGGCTCAACGGGTCCAAGTTCTCGGCGAGGGCCATTAGCTCCGGCTCCAGTTCCAGATCCAGTTCCATGTCCAAATCCATTTCCAGCGACAGGTCCAGCTCATCCCTCTCGGGCGAGGTAACCTGCGACAGTCCAACGCTATCCTCCGGCTCCGCCACAAGCTTGCCCCCAATGAGATCGCCCCCAATGGGCCTCTGCTCGGCAATGAGCTCCGCGGGTGGCGCGCCAGCTCTGCCCCGGATGGGGATCGGCACGGCCCGGGAGCGCTGCAGCGGAATCGTCTCCGTCTCCGTGCCCGTGTCCGTCTCCTGGACCTGACTGGCACGCCTACAATTCACACAGACAATCATCGTTATTGGTTATTGGATTGGCAATTGGCAATTGGTTATCGATTGGTTATTTGGGAGGGGCTGCGGACAGGCGCAGTAGCCGCCCGAAGGCGGTTCCTCCCCAGCTTTGACTCTCTCTCTCACTCTCTGTCTCTCTGTCTCTCTGTGGGTCTTTTTTTTATCCCCATTGTTGTTGGTTATTTAATCAAGCAGCCAACGGGTTGAGCACCCAACGGAGAGGAGGAATGGCAATAGAAAAAAAAGAGAGGTGAAGATTAAACATTGCAGGAAACAGGGCAAGAGAGAGAGAGACACAGAGACAGAGCAGAAAGCGTAGCAGAAAATTGGCAGTAGGTGTACCCGCTGCCCTCCCTATCCACCCTCTTCTATCCACTCTGCTCCCAAACTAACCGTAAATTGCGCTCCATTTTTATTTAGTTTTCATTTCCGGCGGCCCAGCCAGCCGCTGTCAATTTTCGCCCCTCAACATCACTGACTGCGAGGAGCAGAGGCGAAAGCGCAGAGATAGAAAGGGCAGAGAGAGAGAGCGAGAGAGACAGAGCGAGAGAGAGAGAGTGTGGGGAAGACGCAGAGAGAGAAAGAGGGCAAGATCACAGGAAATTATACAAAAGAAGTGAGCCCTTAGCTCTGCAGAAACATCTTCCCCATCGATACAAAAACCAAAAGGAAATCCCATAAATTAATTTCTCTGACTGACAGATGACAGTTGGATCGAAGCACTCTCAGTGCCAATTTCGTGTGCAACTTTTGCCGACCAGGGATACTTTTTGGTGCTCATCATTCAGGGTTGGATGATCTGCTGGCCCCTGTGCAGGTACCACTCTGTTCCGCCCGTTCGGGGAAAATCCCCATGTGCATTTATCAATGCTTTCCACTTGCTCCGTTTTCTGCTGGCTGATGCTATTTTTTTTCGAGTGCAGAACTAGACATTTATCGCCGCGCCCCATGTTCACTCGACCCGTGCTCCCGCCGACTAATAACTAACGTGGACCGAAACACCCCCCCATCACCCATACCCCTTCCATTCAACACCCTCTTTAGCCACAACCCCTGGTGCAACATCAATTCTCCCCAGACACTATCAAGCCCCCCCCGACAAAGTTAGTTTACGGCCAAAGTTTAACATACAAAAAAAAACAAGAAACGCTAACGAAAAAAAACCACGAAAAAAATCTACAAAATTGTGTACCAACGAACGAACAAAAAAAAAAAAAGAAAAAAAAAAGCAAAAGATGAAATTTTTCGGTCAAAAGCTAGTCGGAATCATGCAGGGAGAATCATGGGAGAAGCTGTAGCAGCCGAAAAGCGCCAAAAGAGGAGCGGCAGAATCAAGGAGCAAGGAGCAAGGAGTGGGGTTGCAGGCGAGAAAAAAAATTGGTTTGCAATGCAATTTTTTTGCGGAGCTTCACGCGAAGCTTTTCATTTGGGCGCTGGCAGCCATTAGAGCAAAAATCAGCAGCATCCCTACCAACCCAAGGGGGATGGGTAAGGGGTAAGGGGTGAGGGGTGAGGGGTAAGGGGCCATTGCAGTTGTTGCTGTGCCACACATGTGGAAATTCTGCGCGTTTTGCTGTTTTTTAATTGACCAACAAATTTATTTGATTCGTTAGCAACGCGAATATTTTCTTCCACTGCCCTGACTTTGCCCCGAACCAGCTCTTGCACCCATCCCAGCCCACCACTCCCACTTGCCCACTTGCCCACAGCATCATCACTATATATTACTTTTGAGGTGGACAGTGCGTTTCAGCAGCATCAGTCTGTGTGTCTGTGCTAGCGGATAAGCAGAAGCGATCTGCGAGTGGCTTAAACCATTTTCAAATAAAATATTCTACAATTAATACAGCTGAAAATTGCCCATATATAAGTGTGCGCTGGACTAGCCTGGATACAGTCAGTCCTGGGAATACTTGGGACCTGCTACAGTTTCCTATTCAAGACAGAAACTCATTGACTATTGCCTGTTCCGCTTTTTTGTGCACTTAAAGTGTAATATATTTGCGATGCAAAGCTTTATAAGCCGCGACACGCACTGTCCAGCCGTATATGCATATGAGCTGATGCGGACATGAGCTTAAAGCCAACGCCCAGTGATGGTTGGATGTAAAATTGCCCAAAATCCGGCACATCGCAGCCCTCATCCCCCATCGCCATACACCATCCTCCCATTCAGTCAAGGGTAATTGAAATTCAAAGCAAGCAAAGACCAGAGCAGACACCAGCACTGACGGGTGGGGAGGGGAGAGAGCCGTAGCCGTAGCCGTAGTCGCTGTCGGATGAGGAGTCCGTCTCTTGTTGTTTCTAAGGATTACATATTGGTAAACAACGATTACAACAACGGAGAGGAGAACAAGAACAACCGATGGTAACGACAACTTATTGTGCTACAAATTGGTTTGTTTGTCCTGCCCCCAACCCCCCCAACCCTGAGACCCCCCATTGCCAGAGCCCAGTTCTAGTGCCACAGACGGACCCACAGACCCTTTGGGGTTGCTGAGTTGCGAGCTGTTTGATTTGATTGTTGACTTTATTGGTCAGCGCGGCCTTTTGTGTGTTGTTCTTTGGCCCCAGCCACAGCTACAGACCCAGACCCAGCTCCCGCTTCTACTTCTACTGCTGTTGTTTTAACGATATTTAATCTATGATTAAAATCAATTAAATGCTACACTTGACTTAATTTATTGTCGCGCACACCAAACGTCGAGCTGCGCGCTGATCGGATCAGGGTCGGAGCACACAGAACAACACAAGACAAGTAGCTGCGAATACGTATCCGAAATAACCGATGCAAAATGATATCCCCCCAGCCCCAGCCACAGCCACAGCCCCAGCCACAGTCCAGAGCTGGCTGGCTCGTAAAAATCAAATTGGTCGCTCCGTTCCCGCTCCCGCTCCCGCTCCCGTCTTAGTGCCGGTCACCGTTTCGAATGAACTCGAATGCCAATAAAAATCTGCCAGCAAAAATCTACGACAAAAGTCGGAAACACTTTGTCGGTGGCTGGAGCTGGAACTGTGGCTGGGGCTGGGGCTTGTGCCACTATCTTTATGGCTCGATCTGGTTTCTGTTCTCTCCGACAGCAATGCAGATAATTGTCCACCTCAAACGGTCAGGGGGGTCGCAACGGGAAAAGCCAAAGAAAACCATCCAGAACTTCGATTCCTCTTTCGACTTCCAGATGACGTTTGATTTCTGCTACAAAAACCACACAAAAATGTCTTCCCGAAACGCACAAGAGGTACGTTCGTTTATTGGTTTTCTGCTGATTATTCGTTACATTTAATGGGAAGCTTCTTTTAGGCGAACAGCTTCGAAGGCCTTGGACTTTGCGACGGCAATCCGTTTGCGATATTTCGGTTCCAGTCCCTTGATCAGCTCTTTGGTCTTCAGCACTGAGAGGCGGACCGATGGATTGATGGCGAAGCAGGACATTGCGTTCTCCAGCATCTTGAGTAGCTTGCCCAGGTACCAGTCGAAGCTCACGAACAACTCGCCCACCAGCAGCGCCTCCGATATGTCCCAGTCGAGAGGCTCCTCGTCATGGTCGTAGTACGGATTCTCGCCGCACTTCTCCCACACATACGAATCGTTGCATGACCAAACGATCGGACAGTGACGACTGGCCCGCAGCCGCGCATGCAGGTGCAGGCAATGGGATCGCTCGATCTCGTGCTCCACGAAAGTGCCATCATAGGTGGTGGTTCCGGCCTGATGGTACGACGGTGCGAACAATTCGTTTGCTAGGAGAGCCTGTCGCTTGGGGTTGAGGGCCATTTTGGCAATGATTTTGGATGGAGCTTTGGCTTGGGCCCCAGCTCGTTGACCGCGAGGGCGGCCTTGACGACTGTCGGCGATCGGCTGACAGGATGGCGGCGCTCCGTGCGGCGGCGAACGGCTAGTCGGAAGTTCAAAAATGTTCCTTTCAGGCGGTTGTGTGGCCTTCGATCCCTTGACTTTCGGCGGCTCCACAAACTCGGACGCCCCCTCCAGGCGGAACTTGGAGAGGCGCTGACAGAGCAGGTTGCACAGCGCTGTGGCATCGTGGAAGACGGGCGAGTCGGGACTGTTGAAGGTGCGACAATTGGTGAACACTAGCATCAAGTCCTCCAGTATTTCCGCAGCCCTGATGTAATAGTTGTTCATCAGCCTCTTCTTCACGGTGTACAGGTCCATGGGGCTCTGGACGCAGTTGTGGTACTCGTACACCTGCAGCTTGATGGCGTTCACGGGATGGCGAAATTGGAAAGAGGACTTGGCGCGTATCATCAACTCCAGCAGGGTCTGGAACTTCGTCATCAGATTGGTGATCCGTCCCTTGCGATTAGGGAGGCGGCAGCACCGCCGGCTGCACGATGCCATTCACCGGCAGCACTTTGGGCTCTTTGCGCTGCGGAATGGGCACGTCGCACGGGATGCTCTGGAACTGCTCCAGAAAGCCCTCCAACTTCAGGATCTGCGAGTCATTCATCGTCTGCGAACGGTGTCGGGGAATACTCTGATTAGTCGTTAATTTTTATTTAGTTATTGTTTTATTTTGTTCTATTAATTTTTTCTGATTTCATTTTATTTTATTCGATTTGCATTTTTATTTTATCTGTCACTTGTCACATTTTTCACTGACAGCTACGCACAGTTGTTTTTTTTTTTCCTTTAATCGGTTTTTATTTATTTGCAGCAAACAGCTCCGTGCAGCTCCGTTCGGTCCGGTTGATATCAGCAAACTGAATAAAAGGAGCAAATACCTGACGTTTACTCCTTTGGCGAAAAGCAAAGGTAGGTTGATCCAAATTTTACACAAGCAAAATATACCCTGTGGGCACTGCCCGCAGAAGGACCAGAAGATTGGAAAAGCAGAACGAAGCATTTGATACCCCCTTTGCAAGCGATTTCCTACAATTTTTAAGCAGCCCCTGGCAAGTAACATAATGAATAAATAATTATTGTAGATTTACTACCATCACGGCGGGACCCTTGAAACC